CTATACTATACTATACTATACTATACGATACTATACTATACTATGCTATAAAGTGTTTATAAATATATATATGTATGTATCATTTGGTAATACTTGATATATCACATATCAGTCACTCGAAGAGACTTCTCTTGCTTCCTGTGGCGCCAAAGTGGCCTCAAATCCCCAAACGTCTGAGAGACACACAAACAAGAGTTGGCGGCTGCACGAAACGTTCAGAGGGTAGGTGTACCCGTAAGGCCATGGCTGACGATAGCTTATGCTCAAGGTTCGCCCCAAGTCGTAAACCACAGTTCGCGATTTCGTGTTGCCTAGCCGTCGACGGATAAGCTATGGGTTAATCAATTTTTTGCTTTAGTAATCGGTTAATAAAACATAAACTAGGTATGGGCATGAGTGAAAAGGGGGCAAACGAAGAGGCGGATGGATGAAGGAAAAAAGTAGATGAAGGAAAAGATCTGGAGCTGGAGTAAGTTAGGCGGTACGAGATAGCAGGAAACAAAGAAAAAGATATGGACATGAATTCGATGGGTTGGTGTGCGAAGTAGAGGGGAGCTAACGGGTGGTTCCGAGGCTGGAGGGTGGATGATAGACGGACAGATGGGTGAATTGATAGACGTAGGCATGGAAAGATAAATGGCTGTACGGTTGGACGTGTGTGTGCAAGCCTGTATGCATGTTAGGGTGTTTGGCTGTATTATTATGCCGACGAGTGTATGCATGTGTGTGTGTGTCTACCTGTTGTATGCACATGTTTGCAGGTGGACAACGGGAGCTTGCTTTACTCAGCGACAAGACACAATATCAGATTTCTCATAGCTGGAATTCAGACAAACAAGCATATGAATGCCCGAGGGAGAGACAAGAATTGGCCTGCTTACCACGCCACCGCGTCTGAACGAGATCTCGGTACGATTTGATCGGCCGAAGGAGGGGAGGTCCTGGTGCCGAGGAAATATGAGCCGAATGAAACGTGACAATAAAAGGGGGCAGGGAAGGCATGTAAGAAAGGTTGGCATTAGAAACCGGCAGTAAATCTCAAACATGACAATGTGTATAAAAGTGACTTTAACGATTCGAGGCTGGATTATTAAGCCGGCCGGTAGGCGCGATACCGTTTACCAACCTGGTTGTGGCTGAATTGGAAGAGGAGAAGGTGGATATCAAAAAAAAAAGTCGGTTTTCCATTAACCCTCCTTTGCGGCCAATTGCGATTAGTCTTCTGGAATGAGATGTATTCACCCTATTTCGTGTAAGGTGATAAAGGACTGGTAGTAGAATTTTCCCACAATGATATGAGTTAACCTGACGTTTCATTTGAATTTCACATAGCCTTGCTTTCCCAAAAGTTGTTCTCATCCAGGCACCAGTGGACTGCAGTTTCGACCTCGTTCGGTCTTATCAGCAGCCTCATCGCGATTCGAACTGCGAGTGTTCAGGACGGTAGCTTGACACGCTAACCACTCGGCTACACTGCCACGAGTACC